CACAGAAGGGTGAAATTCTTATTAAGCATATCACCGAAGAACCTGTTCAACCATAATCCAATTTTGAAAACTCAAATTATATATCCAACATAATAACACAGAAACAATTTTTAACACCTAGTTAGAAAGGGGTTGAATTATTAACATGTGTTGGCTGGAAATTTCTCCATCTAATCAAGAAAATATGCACTTAGGCCAGCCAGATAATGGAAAACATCAGCTTTTCCAAGAGGAGAATTATGTGATTTCTATATCCAAAATAATGTTCACTTTCATTCTCCCTGTCCTTACATTATCTATGGTAGAATTACATTATCTGCCAGAAACAAAGCTTAAAATACAAGAATCTATGAAGCATAGGCCGCTGTGTCCATGTCTAACACATGTCAAACTAGGACACACCAACAATTTGGGCACTAGAAAAATCGTCCAGCATTTTCCGCTAGCAGCTACCAGGTACTTGAAGAAGTAGACGGAAAGAGACAAACAAAATCCACAAATACACATTCAATATCTCCATGGATTTCAAGAAGACAAAAGCTGAAATTACCTCAAATTGCTACAATACGCAAGGAAGAAAGAAAAAGAAAAATACCATTTTCCTCGGACTCCCCGTCGAGCCGAAGGCGCTTGGCCTCGGATTCGTCAGAAGTGGCAACGTCGGAGCTGTCAGGAGCAGTAGACTCCTCGCCATTATTCTCCGTGGGGGCTTCATCAATGGGTTCACTGTCCAAATCTGCAAGCTTCCGCTTGTGATCCAAGGGCTCGGGGCTCGCCACTCCGGTAGCTACAACAACTTCCTCCGCCATGTGGTGACCAAGAAAGGCGAATCGAAGTAGTGTTGTGTTCCTCCAAAAGCCCTGGGTGGTGGCTGGCGAGGGAGATCGAATCTAGGGTTCAAGAGGAGAGGAGAAAACCGTGAGAGCAAAAGGATACGATACACTAAGACGGATGTGCGGTATACGTAATTCTTACAGCTATCTCAGATATTTTTATTTTAGATGCTTCGAAATATCTAAAAATAAAGCCAATTTTATATAAATAAATAACACTAAATTAATAATAATATATAATAATAAATATTTTTAAACTTTAAATAATAACTTTAAACTTTAAATTTTTTTAAAAAGTAAAAAAAAAAATACACGTTTAAAAAATTAAGGATGTACATGGTCGGAGTTGGGTTGGGTTTAGAAATTTTTTTTACGCAATCCAAAACAACCGAGTGCCGATGGTCGAGCACGTGAAAAAATTATAATAAAATAAATATAAAGATAGATCATGAAATTAAATAAATAAATAAAAATTAGTTTAAAGCTACTGTACACAAATAAAAAAATATGTAAAAATATTTTAATTGAAATATGCTTTACTAATAAATAGCAGGTTTAAAAAATTAGGATGTATGGTCTCGATTGGGTTTAGGGATTTTTTTTTTACCCAACCAAAAGTCAACCGAGTTAAGACGGGACGACCAAGTAATATAAAAGAAATTATAATAAAAAAAATAGAAGGATAGATCATGAAATTAAATAAATAATAAAAAAATCAAATAATATAAAAGAAATTATAATAAAAAATTGAAGGATTGAATTAGATAAATAATAAAAAAAATAATTTAAAGATAGTATATATAATAAAATATATATATATATATATTAATAAAAAAATATATATTTTAATTGAAATATGCTACTAACTTACTAACATAGCAACAAATAGAAGATAATAATTATATTAAAATTGAGAATATGTTTAACTAAAAATAATAAAATAATAAAATAACAAAATAATATAAAAACAATTATAATAAAAAAAATAAAAGAAATTAAACAAAATATTTTAAAAAAAAAAAAAAAAAAACTATGTAATAGACTAGAGTCAAAAACGGGCGTGGGTCTCACTAGACCAGTCAAAGTACCCTCTAGCAAACCATTAATAATGAAAGATTCTTAATATAGTTTATATATTTTTATTTGGATCGGGTCGCTCGGGTCAACCTAAGGGTTTTGTCCCACGAACCCGAAACCGAACCGATTCAATTCGGGTTCAGAAAAATGAACTCAACCCTATCTGCTAATCCAACTCAACCCAACCCTTATAGTTCGGGTTGGGTTGATCCAGGTTGTCGGGTTGAATGTACACCCCTATTAAAAATAATACTAATGAAATTTTAAAATTAGCATTAACACATTTTTACATCGGTAAAAGAATGCAATTTTTTTTCTTAAATTCAATATATGGACGAAAATTGTCTATAGGCTTCTCATAAATTATCTCCAAATTTTTTAATATTACTTTTAAAAGTTGATGAGAATTTTTTAAATGGACGAACACCGTTTATCGACACCTCATAAATTATCTCCAAATTTTAATGTTACTTTTGAAAATTTATGAGTATTTTTTAAACCTGATACAAACGAGTACGTGTATTTTTTTAACTTTTAAAAAAAAGTTAAAAGGGTGATTTATTTATGAGTTCTTATCGAGAGAATCGCGAAATATAGAAAAAGTAATGAGAAAATTGAAGTGAATCGTGAAGAACACTTGCCCATGGCGGAAGATGGCCTTCACGGTCGTTCATTTATCCAAAGTTCTTACTCTTCGGTCTAACAAGGTCGAACTATTACAAGTCTCGCAACCTCTTGCATTTTCTTTCATACGTTGTAAATACGGCGATGGTGCAAATTTTGGCGAGTGACCGGGTATGGCCACATTTCAAACATTGATCGACGAGTGTTATCCAAGATGGTTAAATAAAAGACTTATTAGTGTTTCGAACAATTTGGAGGTGTGGAAAGATTGGCTAATCTCCATACGTACTCGAAGCTTCATAAGTTTCGTGATTGAAGTGTTCGATGATACAACGATTGTTACTCCGTAGGGTAGAAAGAGCAATGCACATGCATTGTGCAGACGTACAAATTATAACCAAACAATACTTTTCAATCTCTAGCAACTAAAACAGAGGGCGTTCGAAAAGAAGAACCCGATCGATTCAAAAACTAATCGCTCGAAGACCCATCGTCAATCTCGTCTTCATGATCTCTCATGACTTTCTCGATTATCTTTCGGCGTACGCCTTCGAGCATGGATTTTCTCGATTCATCGTTTCCAGACTGACCATCGTTAAGCACTGGACCTGCTTGACAAAGAACTATGCAACACTTGACAATATCATATCATTGTGAAGGTCAGTGGTTTCTAACAAAGCAAACTTTGTATAGTTTCTGTTGCACACGTTTCACACAACCCATGGAAGTTTCATCATATTGTTATTATTCTTTTGTTAAGAAACCGAACACTGAAAATATCCGGGCATATAAAAAACAACCCATATAAAGGAGTCAACCCACTAACTACAGAAAATGACTCAAACCCAAAAGAATCATTCTGTATAAGGGTGTGGAAACCTTCCCCCAGCAGATACATTTTAAAAACTTCGAGGGAAACCTCGAAAGGAAAACCTAAAGAGGACAATATTTGCTAGCGGTAGGCTTGAGTTGTTACAAATGGTATTAGAGCCCGACACTGGGCGAGGTGCCAGCGAGGAGGCTGAGCCCCGAAAGTGGGTGAACATGAGGCAGTGTGCCAGCACGAAAGTTGGGCTCCAAAGGGGATGGATTGGGGGGTCTCACATCGATTAGAGAATGAGTGCCAGCGAAGATGCTGGACCCTGGAGGGGGGTAGATTGTGAGACCCCACATCGGTTGGGGAGAAGAACAAAGCATTCTTTACAAGCGTGTGGAAACCTTCCCTAAGCCCAAGAGGGGAATCCGAAAGAGGACAATATCTGCTAGCACTAAACATAACCCAATCGACACAGGAAGCCTTGAATTCAACGTCACAAGTCACAAAACCAACGAAAACCCAATCGACACAGGAAGCCTTGAATTCGACGTCACAAGTCACAAAACCAACGGAACTCGATGGCTTAGAACTCAATCATATAACACAATTTCAAACGTAAGAGGGAAGTGATAACCTGCTTTTAAATATCTAACCAAATAAGAGTGCTGATCGGAAGTTGCAGAGGACACAAACCAAACCAAATAGATGTTAGATGAACACGACTCTCCACAATGGTATGATATTGTCGACTTTGAGCATAAGCTCTCATGGCTTTGCCAATGGAGATAGTATTCTTTGATTATAAACGATGGGACTTTCATCCAACACCTCCTCTCGAACAAAGTATGTCTCCCCTTAATCGAGGCTCGACTCTTTTTCTTTTGGAGTCTTAGTCATTTTTTACTATGTCTTCAAGGAGCCTCGACTCCTTTTTTCTTTTGAAGTCCTTTATTCAACATGTGAGGATTCTATTGACATGGCTTTAACCACCAAGTTCGGGATGGAGTGGTGTGGTTCCTTTACGCCTAGGACACTAGAATATCGAACTAGGAACGAAGAAAAGCATATTGGCGAGTGAGTGTCAGGCCCCAGTTCTTGACTGGAGGGGACACCAAAGGGAGTGTTTCAGCATATTTTGATCGTGGGTCATATCCAATATATGGTATTAGAGCTAGAATGCTGAAACAAATGTCGTCACCGCACAAAGTCGCTAGAGAAGATTTGACGATGATAAAGAATAGAAAGGAGGGGAGTGTAACGCTCCATTACCCATGACTCACGAAGAGTAATTATACAACAGGGTCAATAAAAATGTGTGTTAATTTACGGGCACAAGGTGTGTGGGACGCCATCGGTGATGACTTTGAGGAGCGTAAGGATAAAATGACTCTTGTCATCATCTACCAAACCGTCCCAAAGGACATCCTCCTCATGTTGGCGACTCGATAAAGACAATGTGGGAACGTGTGAAGGAAACAAAGATGCAGACCATGAATTTTTTTTTTTAAACCTATTATATATTATATTAGTTATAAAATAGGAAGAAAGATTTTTATTTTTTATTTTTTATTTTTTTAAAAGAATAACTGTAAAAATAAATGAAAAAAAAAAAATATATATATATATAATAAATAGAGACATAAGAATAGAAAGCTAGTGGCAACGAGTATTCCGAAAGAAGCAACTGCAGGGAGGAAGGTGGAAGCAATGGGTATCTCATCGGGGCCGAAGCTCTCAGGGTTGCAAAAGCAAGTGCTCAGTCTATACAGATCATTTCTTCGAGCAGCTCGTTCCAAATCCGCCGAAGATCGACGGCAAATGGAATCGGTTGTCGCCGCTGAGTTCCGCCGAAACGCCAAGCAAATCGATCGCAAAAATTTCATCCACATCGAGTACCTTCTTCGTCGAGGTAACAAACAGTTGGATCAACTTAAAAGCTCTGCAACCGTTCGGGTATCAAGATTCTGAGCCTTGAAATTGTATGTACATTGCTTCGATTCTTGGCTGTTGTTCTGATTTAATCGATCTTGGATAGATTTTGAACCCTAGAAAATAAACTGCGATTGATTTGCTCTTTCTCCTCTTGAATTCCTGATTTGCAATTTTGTTGGTGGATTCTAAGCGACGAATCACTCATTTGATTTGCTCGATACTGAATTTTGTCCTTCATGAACTTGTTTTTCAGTGACGATCAATTTTGGAAAACAGTCCAAGTCGGTGGTAGAATCCTTGAAATGCTTGAAAATGTGGACAATGGATTTTTCTTCCTTTGTGAGGTTAAGGTATGAATTTACACAAAATTCTACATTTAACTATCATTATATATATTCTAGATTAGAAGATACTTTTGATCTTTGTAATTTAGAATTTTTTTTTAAAATTCATTTCAATGTTCAAACATCTGAACTTCAAATCTTAAGAATAAGAAGAAGAAAAAATGTTCAAATGTTGCAAATTGTACTAATTAAAACCTTAAACTTCCTAACTAAATCTATTTAGACGGATTCATAACTATTTTCTACTAAAGTTTATTGCAAAATTACCTAAATAATATCATTTTTTTTCTTCAAAGTAGCGGATGTAGTTCTTCCTAAATAAAAAAACATTGAAGGAGAAAACAAGATAAAAAAATTACAATCGGTATAATCCACTAAATGCTAACAATTCTGTCTATAATTGTGTTAATCCCTACATTTACATTCTTACAAGGATAAGAATTATGTATTGATAATTTAGAGTGAAATCCTAAGCGATATACGGTTTTGTGATTAGCCCATCCAATCGTCTTTGTTCAAGCCGAGGGAACACAATTGCCAATTGCAATATGTCGACCACTAAGCAAAGAGTCGTAGATAAAGGTAGAGTTTCATTACCAAGACAACGTTGTGCACGATTGACAACTAAGTCCATAGTCAGACAAATAGGATTTTTTTTCGCGTGCATAAAAAACTTGTCATGCATGCAAGCATCGACCTTATTTTTAGTAGGAAAATATGCATCATGACCTATGTATCTTGACTTAAAATATGGGACTTCATGCATGTGGTATACAAACACCGGTTACTTCTCTAGTATGTTACATATGATCACATACTATGATAAGAAACATGCTTTTGTCTTTTCATTAATTTTTGATAGCGTACGTGTGCACTAGTATGTAGTCAGACTTAGAGAGTACTTATATGAGTCTGTAGAAAAATACTATAGATCCAACCTTATCCAAAAAAGAAAGTAAGGTCAAAGGAATAGTCAAGAAAAGTAGAGTCTCACCACAAGCCTTGTTGCATATGATTGCATTTTTCGATCCCAACAGTGGGGTCATTTACGGGGTATTTTTAAATACTCAACATATGTTTAACATTTTTCCCGGTAAAGGCAAAGACCCCATGTATGGATTGACAACATCAAGTATCGATAATTAGGTTTTCGGCTTAAATCATAGTCATTATATTAGAGTAGATCAATGATATTTTTATTTTTAAACTTTGAAAGGAGATGTTGTTTCTATTTTCAATGGTATTAGTAGGTTTGAATTAGTAATGTTTAAAGTGAAATGAATTTAATGATTTTTCGCACATAGTAATTACACCATGTATATAGCAACGTTACAAGAAAAGTATAGTCATTACACAAAACGTCATTACACAAAACATGCTACCGGACAACTCTAGAAAATCCAAAGAGTTAGTGAAAGAGAGTGGTAAGCCATCGATATAGCTCATAAAACGTCATTACACAAAACATGCTACCGGACTAGTTGTTGTGAAACTTCTCTGAGCATAGGAGAGGTCAAGCTTGAGAGCTTGTTAGGACATAGGAGAGGTCAAGCTTATGATGGATTTGGATAAGTGTAGGTCTCCCATTACTTGCTAGGACGTGGAGCCATCTTCAATTCTAACACTCTTGAAGTACAACTTGGTACGAGGCTAAAATCAAGCTCAATGGAGAAAGAAATCTAGCTGATCGGTCCTTTCTTCTTCCTTCCTTTGAACTATCTCTAAGGCTTTCTAAACACCGACCCATCAGTTTGCGCGGTTCATAGCCGAAAAGCATTTGGCTTATATTTGTCTTGTAACAGCTCAAGTCTACCGCTAGCAAATATCGCCTTTTTTGGACTTTTCCTTTCGAGCTTCCCCTCAAGAGAGGTTTCCTTCCAGTGTCCAACCCCCTTCGAGGCATAACATCCTCGTTGGCAAACTGCCCGATGACTGCCTCTAATACCATTTGTAACAGTCCAAGCCCAGCTTTGGCCCATTACGTATCACCGTTAACCTCACAGTTTTAAAACGCATATGCTCAGGAGAGGTTTCCACTCTTATTAAATAATGTTTCGTTCTCTTCCCCAACCGATGTGGAATCTCACAATCATCTCTTCAAATACTTTTCTTTGTCATGGCTCAATATCTAAAACTGAAAGACAACTCATCCGAATGAAAGCTTAAACTCAATCGATGAGAGGAAAGTTAATGCTTTACAACCAAATTTGCACAAAACTTTTGGAATCGCAACTAATTAAGACAAGGGGTATTAAGGAGTTCAAGAGGTTCGGGGCACCTGACAATGTGTTCGAAGGCTACAATTAGCATCTCACCCGAAGCTAAGACGAGATTGAATGAAGCTGAAGTTTATATTTGGGTGCCTCCACCCTTAGAACATTGGTAGCTACTTCAACTCCAGTTTATAGAGCGTCATCTTCCATCTCGACGAGCCATACAAAAAATGGCATTTGATAGCTTAGATTGAGCTTCATGTAACTTAGCCTCGACCTCATACAACTTCTTTCGAGTTTATTCATCCTAATATGATAGCAATCGATATCTTAAATTGAGCTTCATGCAACTTAGCCTTGACCTCATACTTCCTCTCGAGTTTGTTCATCCTGATATGATAGCAATCAATAGCTTAGATTGAGCTTCATGTAACTTAGCCTCGACCTCATACAACTTCTTTTCGAGTTTGTTCGTCCTGATATGATAGCAAACCATATCTCGGATTTCATCTCTGAGCGAGGACTCATCTAATCCTCTTGGCTTTGGCTTAGGTAAATATTGCCTCTTTCCAGCCATTTTCCTATGCACATTGCACAAAGTGTCCCATATTTATACCTTTAAATTTTGCAAAAGTTTACAAGTAAATCTATTTAGACCCTTAGATTATGATCCATAACTATTTCCACTAAATAGTTTTCTCTAAAAAAGAAGCAAAAAGACAACAAAATTACAAATCAGAAGAAGAGTGCTCAGGATTATCCTCTGTTAAAGCTGGAAGTGCCCTTTCATTCTTTGACTCAAACCTATATTGAGCAATGTTATGTCGAAAAAATAATGCAGCTTAGTACACACCTTCGTCCGATCTTACCGTCTGTTCCTGTGTTGAAGCTGTCACGGTCACCATCAACGTAGCCTTCTGCTGGCACTAGTTGTTGTGTTTAGCAAGTCATTGTTTGATCTCGGTGCTCGATGTGTTGAAGCTGTCGCCATAGCCCGTCGCTGCTAAACAGTATGACACCACTGCCTATGTATGCTTGTCTATGTATACACATTCAGAAGGATGATGGGTATAATTACAAATACAATGTTCATCAGATTACGAAACGACATTCCTTAACGAATCATTAACTCTAACATGATGCAGTCGACTTAATTGTCCCTATCGTTCCATGTATTGTCGTAAAGCATGCAAACGATCTAAGAGATCGGAGATCCCACCCTCAGTGTAACATGTTCAATATAAAAAAGTAACAGATTCCATAATTGAAATTCAAAAAAGAGAAATACAGGCTGAATGAGGGAATTTGAATTTCTGAATGATCCTTGGCCAGCAAAAACTCATCTTTTCTAATTTAAAGTAAAAAGAGTTAATATTACAATTAGATTAATTAAATTGATTATTGTAAATATTGTACATTATCTTAATTGGTCAAATAAAAAAAAATATACAGAGCATTGCCAATTTTCAAAATTTATACCTTCTACATTCAACAAGGCGCCATGTCTATTCAATATCCTTCATAGCATCCTGCAATATTAAAAACAATATCGAGAATTGATAAAGCTCCTATAAAAATACGTGTATAAGAGAAGGCGCGTGACGAGAGAGAGGGGGGAGGAAATGATGTTACATGAGTTAGTTAGTAGTGTACCCAGAGAGGAAGGTTAGTTAGTAGTGTACCCAAAGAGGAAGGTGTAGGAGACGAGGCAATGTATTCGCTTATTTAGGTAAAGGAAGAGAGATGAGAGGGGTATTGTGAGATCCCACATCGGTTGGGGAAGAGAACGAAACAATCTTTATAAGGGTATGGAAACCTCTCCCCAGCAGACGCGTTTTAAAAACCTTGAGAGGAAGCCTAAAGAGAACAATATCTGCTAGCGGTGGGCTTGGGCTGTTACAGGTGTCTTCTTGCTAATCATTTTGTGAGGTTCTTATGGGAGTTTGTAACAGCTCAAGCCCAAGTCCACTGCTGACCGATATTGTCTTCTTTGGGCTTCCCCTTCTGGTTTTAATACGTGTCTACTAGGGAGAAGTTTCCACATTTTTATAAGGAATGCTTCGTTTCCCTCTCCAACCAATGCGGAATTTCACAGTGGGGAAGCTCTAGAATTCTTCCCTCAACTTTGTGCCCTTGTTGATAAACAAACTTAATTCTTATCTACATTGGTATCAAAGCCGATCTTGATTGGAAATGACTATGTGCATGGAAGTTCGGATGGAAACGTCGGAGAACAAAGTTGGGTCGATCCCGAAGTTTGTGAAAGGAGGTGGGAAAAGTCATTGCTAAGAGCGCGACTAAGTCGGTAAAGAAAGGATTGGGAGTGTTTTCTCAGATGGAAGGGTAAAAAATGACCGAGGAAGCTGAAACTAGTGGAAGAGCCGAAGGAAAGAGAAAGAAAATGAGGTTGAGGCGCCAAACAATGCAAATGTGAAATTAGGAAAGTGCTAGCTCAAGTCTTTGATTTGCGGCTAAGGAAGTTAGACATTCCAGTGTTCGGCGTGGGGAGAATCGCTATGGATGGGTGCATCTAGGTGGAACAGTATTTTGTGGCTAATCGGCTACTCGAGACGGAGAAGCTGGAAGTTGTTGTACTGCGTCTAGAAGGGCAAACTTTAAACTCACATCAATGAGCGGAGCAACGCCGTCCAAGTGAGGGATGGGACAAATTCCACATGTTGATACTACGACGAAGCAGGTCGACAAGCCAAGTTATGTTACGAAACGACGGTGGGTGAATGGTGCATTATCTAACACACCACGCAGAGTGGACAAAGTTGCCAAGGTAAGGTATAAATAGATTACGGTGTTACCAAGGGTGTCAAGCTATAAGCTTAACAGGAGCCAGGTGGGACACCAGGACACAACCTCAAAGGTCGGGATTCCAGAGTGAGTTTCAACAAGCAACTCTGAAGTTAAGTCTGTACAAGTGAAATATGAAAGTTCACTAAATTGGGTGTCAATCGGACCAAATAGATGTTCCACATTGGTGTATGACTCCTTGCCCAAATGACATCCAATCTTGCTAGATAAAAATGCCTTAGAATGTACTATAAGGGGATACGACTAGTTGTTAAATCTTCCTACCCAGGTTATATGCTATTAATGTCGTTGTTGCTTCACACGTTAGTGAGAAGTGGGCACGACGAGGAAGGTGTAAGGCAATGTGTTTGTTGATTTAAGGAAAGGAAGAGAGGTGAGGAGTATGAACTTATAAAATATAATATCATGATCAAGTCAATTCCATGATTACGAGTTCATCCCGTAAATATAAAACGAGTTGATTGCATAAAGTTTGCAGTAGCAATAAGCCATATTACCTTGGCTAATCGTGTAACGTATGCAGCAGCCAATGCTGTCGCCAACAATCCAAGTCCTAAAGTCCACAGCTGACCATTTCCCCCTCCAAGCAAACCAACTTCAGATTCCTCTTGCTGAAAAAACGCCAAGTAAAATTAACAGTGGAAAAGAAACTAGGCAACAAGATGGAAAATTGGAAACAAACAATACGAGAGACGGAAAACCGAACTAAGAATCGAGGTCATAGATTATCTTTAAAGGAAAACCATAAACAATAT